AGCAAAGAATAGTTAAAAAGAGAAAAAACAAGAGAGAGAAAGAGAGAGAAAGAGAGAGAGAGAGAGAGAGGGGAAATAGAGATAGGAGAGAGAAAGAAAAGGATAGTGATAGGGGGAGAGAGGGGGAGAGTAGGAGAGAGGGATAGAGAAAGGGAAGGAGAGAGAGAGAGAAAGTTTCACTTATATTGTAAATCAACATAAAACTGTCAGAAATATAACATGTGCCCTCTATCAATTTTAGAATTTTGGCGGCTGGATATAAAAGGCAAAACAAAAGAAATGTCCAGATTAGTTCAAAATGACTCAACATCTTTTCTGATAAATATATTCAAAGACTACAGAGAAAATAATTCTAAAATATATGAGAGGGGTCTGGGAAATTAATATACAGTCAAACCTGCCTATAGCGACCACCCAAGGGAAACACAAAAAGTGGCCTTTGCAGAGAGGTGGTCTTTGTAGACAGGTTCCTTTAGTACATGATTCAATGAGAAACCATTTTCAAGGGAAACAACAAATGTGGCCTTTGTAGACAGGTGGTCTTTGTAGACAGGTGGTCACTAAAGTAGGTTTGACTGTAATAGAAGAATCTATTCTCATGATTGAGTGAGATGGGGATGAAACGGAGAATTCCTGTGATTTACGATTTACTCTTCCTACTCCTACCCCATCATGAATAGTGAGCTCGCCCTCTCTCTCTCTCGCTCTCTCTCTCTCTCTCTGTCTCTTCTTTTCCGTATTTCATATCAATCTAAGTCACTTGTACTATCTCATACTATCTCTGTAGATCTGCCTATCCTGTATGAGCACTGGTACTGACAAAGTATTGAATGAAAATATGTTTGATGGATGACAGTATTGCTGTCCTTCGTGTACCTCATGCAATATGTTCACTCTATTCATAAGTTCATTGTATCAATCAATTAAAACAACATTAAAATGTATACTCTTAGTGAGATAAAAGGGGGTGAACATATCAAATCTTTGCATTTCTTACCCAAATTGCGTTAAAATATCATCAAAAATGATATAAAGAAGTGTGAGTACTAATATTTCCTTTTATTGGTACCAAAATGAGGCAAAACCATTTTACGGACGCCACATGACGATGACTTCAAATGATTGATGCACGATCAATTTCATAACCAGTACGGTCTGCGCTCTCTGAGGGAGGCACTGCGGACTGACTGAGCCGTGATTAGAAAAACCTTGAGTACGCCCTCTGTTGCCCTCATATGTTCAGTTCGTTTCTCGTCGTTCTTTGTTTGTTTCTGATCGTCCTTTGTTCGTTTGGCATGGACCTTTCACGATTCAAAGTTTGACGTCCGTATCTAATCGTCCTTTGTTTGCTTCGAAACGTCCTTTGTTTTGAAACGTCCTTTGTTTGTTTCTTATCGTCCTTTGTTTGTTTCTTATTGTTCTTTGTTTATTTCTTATCGTCCTTTGTTTGTTTCTAATCCTCCTTTGTATGCTTCTAATCGTCCTTTGTTCGTTTGGCATGGACGTTTCACCATTCGAAGTCTTTATTTGTTTCTCTACGTCTTATGTCTGTTTATGACTGTCCTTTGTTTATAGTCACATTGATTTTGGCCCATTTGGCCGCCCATAATTAAGATACACCTTGGTTTAAAATTTGAACAATATCCCTTGAGTAATTTGGCCTAGAGCGCACACAAAGTTAACTATCCTAAAAAATATGGCCTTTTACCCTATAGAAGACGGAACACTGGGGGCAGCATCATCAAAAGTTATAGGTGTGTAGATTATACCAAGATACAACTCCATACAAAATTTGAAAGAAATCTGTCTAGGAATGTGGCAGTTAGAGCGCACACAAAAATATGACGCGGCGGCGTAATAATGCTGCTGAATCCAAAGTACCCCACCGGCAGTATGGGGGATACAATGAAACAATACAAAGAAAAGGGAGTGGCAAAATTATACCTCTCTATAATAACAAAGAGTTTGTATTGATGAGTATTATAACATTGTTCCTTACGTGGTTCCACTGTACACACTGTTCATGTGTGAGTACAAATGTCACAAAACAAGAAGAAGCAGAAAAAAACAACTGAATTTGGCAATAAATCAATAAACAGCTTATTTAATTAAGAATATAATATTGATATTACAAATACTTGATTTCAGGTGGATGACAAAAAAATGACATAAACAGGTCAAAAAATAAAATCATTAAGTTGAAACACTTGATCATTATCAAATCAAAAATGAAAAAAGATGAGAGATAAATGTACTGTTCAGCTATAACAAATTAGAAAGACAAGAGTTAGCCTACCTGAATACAAATTCAAAATTTGGAAGTGTTTAAAAATGTTTGGAGATTTCAAATTCCAATAATTCATAAATTTATGGGTAAAAAATGATCCTTTCAGACTTTGTTCCATTTCAGTTTCACCAAGATATTCAATCTTTCTCCTTCAAAGCAACATTTCAAATTAAGCAAAGATTCATGCGTCTTTGATGCCTAAACTAGTACTTGCAGATAAAATATGTTCAAGGTAAATAATGAAAGGAGATCACTAGTTCAATGACCTCTTTCTTTCATACTTGAATGAAAGTTAAGATGAATAATGAATTAAGCCATAAATATGATTTAAATTGTAATCTAAGCATTCAAACTAAAATTGACATCGGTAGTTACACAAAGCTCAATATGAATTAAAATCTGTAGAAAAATTGTATTGGCAAACAATAAAATGTACAAAAACATAGATTGCAAGAATTATTTCAGATGAAGAGACAAATATTTCTCTAACCATGCAAATCAGTTCTTCATGATATTAAAGCTTGCCTATTACAGCAACAAGTAATAAGTGCAAGGTGAATCTGAAGTTACAGAGATACCCTGTGTATCATACACGATATGCGAATTTGTTATCAGTTATTTTAAAATGAAACTTACATAATAAGTATGTAAAAATGGTCTGTTGATAACATTTTTTTAAATAGCAAAATATACATAGAGCAAGTTCAAATTTAATTTTCCCCAATACAAGTATGTGCACGATAAATTATTGCAAATGAATATACCAATGTTAATATCTACATATTGCTGCAACAGGAATCAACATTATACACAATTAAGGCTTCATGATTACACGTTAGTTGTGTCCCTGCTGACATTCAGGCACCCGTTTACAAGATATAGAAGGTGGCAGGTATCAATAAGAATTTTACAGAAAGGGATTTAGAACTTTGATCTGAAAAGCATGTTGTGACAAAACATTACATTACTGAATACATTTTAACATCCCTAAGTATGTTAATTGCTGTAAACAGTAATATTACCAAACATACTCAGACACATCAAAGCGTATCAAAGTACTTTCATTCTATAAACAAAGTATCATTAAACATTTTTTTTAAAAGTTACTCAATAATATGAAGATAAAACTATTATCTACAATATCACTCAAAGCCCTGGCTTTAACACGGCAGCCAGACAGCGCTCTAGCATTTCAAGGAATTAATTCCTGCCAGGTTCCCATTTACATCACCTGGGTTGAGTGTGGCAAATGTAGATCAATGTCTTGCCAAAGGACATTAGTGCCGGTGCGGGACTCGAACCGCAGACCTTGTGATGAACTGATAGACTGAACTGATAGACCACATAAAATTCAAATGGAGAATCAATATCTGTTAATATTCATTTCATGATTGAAATAATCATTGTTTCTAATTCATTGATACTTCCATTCATTTGATTATTGGAGAGGTTATTAATATTCATTTTGGGGCTATACAAAATATCCATCCAAATTACATGTAATTGCAACATCAAATTAAATATTAAAAACACTGATTGAACTAATCCTTTCCAAAACAAGTTTTAGGTAATTTTGGCATTTCTTTTCCAAGTGCATGCATGTACATACAATAAGGAAACAAATACATAATACATTTAACAGATAATAAAGCAGTTGATTTATCTTAAAATGGGATAACATTCAATTTCCATTTTGTCTGAATCTTTCCAATAAATATTCTTACAATCAAAGAAAGAGTGATAATGCATATATCAAATAATTCAAAATTTACTAAACATGTTACCTAGCAGCTTTAACTTCAATGTCAAATTACTCCATGAATTTCATTTATTGAGTTACAATACCAAATAAAAGGCTTCTTACTTAGCCTTATATTATAAAACAAGGGAAACAACAGAACATCATTGAATTCATATATTGTTTTGGTATAATAGCATTGTAACATTCACAGGTGATATATCAAAATTCTCAATACAAATAGCCTTGCATAGACATAGTAATTGAGACTGTGGCAGTTAATGAAATAACTGATTTACAATTATACTGCAGTGATATTTGTAAAGTAAAATTTCTTTATCTATAACTTATTTTTTGGTTAATCTATTGCACATTATGCATTACAGCAGTGTTTTCGACGATTTCCAGAATAACTAATAAGTAAATGTATACTTATACAGTCGAACCCATGGCCACCTCTCTAATCTCCATAAAGGCTGCCTGTGTAGAATGCCCATGTATTTCATCTCCCTTGAGAAAGAAATGTGTGTTGTAGAATCTGTCTAGAAAGGCCACCTGCCTACAGTGCATGCCACTTTTTCTATCGGTCTTGGGTACAATAGACAGTTTTGACGGCATATAAAATGGCAACAGTTGGGTCTATGCTGCTATGCTAGTGCACAAGTCAGATCTCTAATTAACATGGAGAAGCAATAGTATTTACGCTAAATGTTAATCACAGGGCAAATTAGATACTGGCAGTCACTATACACAGGTTTCTTTGTCATACTACAGTACATAAGTAGCACGATTTAATAGTGATCGTCTTTCTAACATGAGGGATTTCAGTTCACATGCTTTGGTCCTTCAACATTATTGCACTTTTACATCATTAATAAAAGAAATGAAATGGAGACAGACCTACATGAATTCGGAAAGGGGGGGGGGGGAGGGGGGGGGAGGATGGGGAATTCTGTCCAATTTTTTTTCCTCAATTAATGTAACAATTCGCCATCTTTTTTACAGTATTCACTTTACGTATGCATGACTTTTTGGATATTGCTAGTTGCTATGGTTATATAACAGCAGCAAGGAACAAGTAGCATGTAAGTTTCGCAAATTGTGATGGCTTTAGGAAAGAGAGCAAGGATGATCAACAATGATCACTCCCAATGGTAGTTTATCAAGTTTTCTACCAACTTTCAATCTCATCCAGATTTTGCAAAATATATTGTGACATTTCCTCATCTTCATCTTCAAACACATTAACCTGAACATCACCACCACCATCGTCATCATCATCATCATTTCCATCTGAAGGGTATTCATCTGTGCCTAGACAAGGACTTGAGCCACTGGAAGAGAAGGCAGTTTCATCCGATGAAATGGAGCAATCAGTCTCGTCATCATCATCTTTCTGGTATTCTTCCAGACCTCTGAAAATTGGATGAACCTCAAGGGCAGAATCTTTATTTTCGGTTTCTCTTGCAAGTTTCAAGCGTTTGCGAGAAAACGTGAAACCTGACTTGCGACTGGGCACGACAGGGGTACTTTCTTCCTTGGGTAGGATTAAAGTGAAAAGTGAATCTCCTTCACGCTGTTGAGGTGATGTCCTCTTGGCTTGTTCTGTTCCATTACTGACAGATACTTGATCCTTGTCCAGATGTTCCTGTTCTGCGACAGCCATGGAACTCACTTTTAGGGAGGGTTTTGATGCACAAGACTTTTTCATGGGTACCTCTTCATCCATTGTAACACAACTATCACCTCCTTGCAGACATGGCATATCTTGGTTGACAGGAACAGCGTTGATCTCGACTTTCCGCTTCAAGGAGAGCTTCCCTCCGTTTGGCTTGGCTGTTCAGTGAAACAATGGATGAAAGATAAAACGAGCATGAGAGACAAGTCCTGAATGGTACTGTCTACTAGTTGAAAACAAAAGTACAAGAGTGGATCACCATCTAACCATCTAGTTCAGTGGTTTGGCACCAAATTTCACCCTATACTTCTGGTCAGTACCATCACCCCACAAACATTTAATATAATTAGTCAGTGCCATTGCCTAGTGTATTGCACCTTTATAAGTTCAAATGGCACTTGTTTCATGTGAAACTTCTTCATTGGCCACCCGTATATCCCAAAGAAAATACCTTAATGGGTGCCATCATTCTAGTGCATCAAAGTAATTTAAACAGAATCAACTGGTCTTGTTGCCAACCCTGATCAAGCCCCGAAAAAGAACACCTACTATTCAATAGAAACCCAAATTCTGGAATTATATATCTTGACACATGTTGTACAAGATGACATCCTTACCTTTTACATCTGAAGGAGTAACTACTTCTGCCAGTGGTTTACTTCCAGGAAGATCTACAGCCGATGGTGTACATCCAGGAGACGCTACTGCTGATGCATTACATCCAGGAGGGGCTAAAGGTGATGTCTTACATCTAGGAGAGGCTCTTACTGATGTCTTACATACAGGAATATCTGCAGCCAATGGTGTACATCCAGGAACTTCAACAGCTCTTGCAGGGGCAGTAAGGTTGACACATTTTAGAAGTGATGCCATATCATTCCGTCTAGGTAGCGATTGCACTGGAGTAGCACTCGAGGTCGATGGCCCATTGGATAAGGATTTGTTGACAGGCACTTCTTGCCTTCCCAGTGGGCTCTGCTGGTGTGGACTATGTACAGGAGTAGCTGTATTTGAACTAGACGGTAGATGGAAAGGTGATCCCCTCACAGGCTGTTCTTGTGCCGGAGTCCACTGGCATGGGCTACTTGCTGTAGCTACAAGAGAAAACCAAAGAGAAAAACAAAGTGTTCACACTATCTTCAAAGCTTATGCTCACTACCTAAACAATTGTATTCATTTATACATGCTAATGGGAAATATTGCTTGCATTTGATGTATGTATTACTGGGACAGTATTCCAAGCTGTATCCAGACAACTATCCCCTTAGGACAGACAACTACATGTATCTCAGTATAACTATCTTTCCTTCCCCCTAAATTAATATGGTATTTCTCAAAGGGATAATTAAAATTCTCCTGTCAGTAATACCACTGGGTTGAATTCATTGCAGATTATACAACGCCTACCAAGATTCTTGCAACCTCATTGGTCAATTCTTGATCACATGACATGCGCTAAAAATACCATTGAACGGCATCATTGACGCGGAGTGCAATTTCGTTTGATCCTTTCGCACCACTGCACTCTGACGTCACTAACGACGTACAAAGTATATGGTGAGCTAAGTGACGTCAGAGTGCAATGGTGCATGGTACGCGCCTGGTTTACTGCCTGCTTAATAGTGCGCGCTCACTATCAGCAATTTTATCAATTGAAAACAAACAAAAAATCGCTGAGATTTAGGCCTATGAAAACTGTTTTAAGCCCGTTAACGTCCGAGGTGTTGTATAAAACAAATAGTGAATGGTCTTTATTCGTGTAATGGAACAATATTTTGCATTCGGTGAAAGATGAGACGCTCCATTCAACTCGGCTGCGCCTCGTTGAATATAGCGTCTCTTATCTTTCACCTCGTGCAAAATCTTGTACCATTGCACTCATGACCATTCACTATTTGTATATTATTTATAAGGTACAATAACATGCAACTTTTTAGTATTGGGTAAAAAGGGCTGGTTCCAGTTTACATTAAAAAAAAAGAAGGGGTACATGTAGGTACCTCTGTTGGAGCTAAAGACGTTTCTTGGTACTGGTCTCTCTGGTGTCCTTGGATCTACCTCTCCAAGATTGGGTCTTGATCGGATCTTTAAAGGTATACAAAGTTTTGGTAAGGGGTCATGAATTTGGTTCAGATGAACATATTAGAAGCCTATGTGATTTTTACCATCATCAATGATCGTTGTCGCGGTTGAAATCGAGTCTAGAGTAATGAAATTGTAAATAATAAACTCTTTATATTGTAGAGCGCCCTCTCAAGACTGATATTACTTTAGCTCTAAAACAATGTTTCTTGACTACAATCAACCGATTTGCTATTCCTGTTTGGAATTATATATCAGAACTGCATATTCTGAGATTTTCATGATCGCAGCTACCATGAAATAGCCTTAGGCGCTATTTGAAATCTTTGAAATTTACCGGGAGCACCTTTAAGTAATCATTGAAAGGACTTATAAATCAGTCGATCAATTATAAGTGCAGTGAACAGAGCAATAAAAACAAAGAATGTATTGGTATAAATTAGTACAATATGAATATAAACCAGATGCATTCACATAAGAACTAGCTTTGGGCATATTTCTCCTTGAAAAAACTCCAAAAGTGCACTAAGCTAAACTCATTTTAATGTAAAACCTGAAACTTTGCAACATGCATCTTTCACGATACTTTTTTCATCGGATGCATCCGGACGCATCCGATGAAACGGCCACTACGAATGGTACAAAGTAGAAAAAGGAGAAAAAGCTGATTAAATAGCTGATGAAAAGAAGAGAAATAGGCGATTAAATTCTCATGATATCATTGTGACACCGATGAAACAGCCACTGTGAAAGCGTTCGGGAGAAAACACTGATTAAAAGGCCAATGAAAATGGTCAACGGTCGCAGTGTACACACGCTTTTTCGTAACAGCTGTGTTTGTTGACTTTTGTTGAGCATGCTGCATGCCAACTAGATGGGGCGCGGGCTTAATAATTGTGCAATAATTCTTCACTTCCGGCAAGGGCTCGCCACAGCGAGTGCATTTCACCTGCAGTATGAAGAGGACAGCAGGGAAAGCGGCGGTTCTACCTTTGTTTAAGGAAAATTCAATCAGTATTTTTATCGGTGTGACTTCGATAAAATCACTATGAAAGGGGTATTAGAGGAAAGTGATTTTCATGGCGTGAACATTTCAGGAATTTGAAAATATTGAGAGTGTGTCACTTGTTAATTCATTTCATGAATCTGAACCACTTCTTACATCCATAAACATGTTTAGAGGGCAAAACATTCTGGTTTTACAGTAATTTGCCACAGTTTTCTGAATGGGCTCTAAAGCATGGAGGAGGAGTACATACCATGAGTTCACGAAGGTTCTCTCTGAGGAACCTTGCCAGACTGGTTTGTCTTGGTCTAGGATTGGTTTTCACAACCTCCTGCAGGCGGGCCGGTGTCCCCACGATGATGCATCCCTTACACCCCCTGGTGATGGCAGTGTAGAGGTGCTGCCAATTCTCGTGAAAACAGTTTGAGCTTATCACGTACACGATGTAGTCTACCTCGGAACCCTGGAGTTCAAGTGAGAAGAGGGGAGAGGTAAGGGGGATGGTTAGATGAATGGATGAGAAAAAGCGTATTGAGAACAACAAATTTTATGAACTTTTAAAATGTTACTGCTTTTAACCTACTGCCTATAGAAACCGAGGGGTTCCTGTATGACGCCTGGAGGATAATGAGAAGTCGGTATTCCTTGGATAATTCAATTGGCTCATCTAAAAGGTTAGACATGTTGTGTCTAGTGGGTAAGTTTTAATACCAGACTATGGATCACAAGGTACGGATTAAAATCCCTGCCAGAGCACAATGTCCTTTGGCGAGACATTGATCTACATTTGCCACTCTCCATGCATGGTTACCTGGTAGGAAGAAATTCCTAGATTTTTGTTAGTACCTTATCATGACAGCTCAGCTAGGTAATGAATAAAATAATTTGCATTAAGCACAGAAGAGTATAGATGAGAGCTTTATTATACAATTAATTATTATTATAATTAATGATTATGATGATGGGTATTTCTAAAGCGCTCATATCCACCAAGCAATTAAGGTGCTCCAGGCGCTCTGGAATTTTAAGGTATTCATGCTTTGCCAATATCGTAAATCTCTGTGTATAAAGACGCACCCTATTTTTAGGACCAAATTTATTTTGTTTTTGTTTTTGATTTTTGTCGACACCGGAGGCAGCAAGCCATAGCGTCTTATTTCAGCATTTGGTAAGGTACGTTCGGAAACCCAAGCCATGCAGGGAAAGATTTTAATTTATTATGAGGCGCAGTTGAAGTGCTTGTGAACTTGTCACAAATAATAGTGACAATGTTGCATTTAAAATTGAAATTTTGCTCTGAGCTGAAGGCAGGCAAAGTGCTTTGTGAAGGGGTATAATTTATCGAGACTGATCAAAAAAATTCTTTTCCCTTCAAATTAAAAACATAGTTTAACTTCAAATAGTAGATCCTATTCTTTTTTTGCATTATGTAATTCATGTTGAGACACAGAGATTTTCGAAAACCACTAAAAAGTAGCATTTTGATGACTTAAAATATCCTGTACCTGCATGTGTATAAGATCATGCACCCCCGACTTTTGATTTTTTTCCGGTGGAAAAAAAGTGCGTCTTATACACAGAGATTTACGGTACCTGTTCAGCGCCCGAGCGGAGAGAGGCAAATGTAGATCGATGTCTTGCCAAACGGTACTAAAAAGTGCCTCGTCTACACTCAAACCCACAGCATTTCCATTTCCAGCCAGTGTTTTTAAAGATAATTAGACCATGTTATGGTCATGCGATTGATTGTGAAAGAAACGTTGTGAAATCGATCAGAAAAGGTTGATCATCTAGCATAGATGTACTGCAAGTTCTGGAATCATCAAAATGATAAGAAATTTGGCCCAGTCTTCATAAAGTTACAAGCACTGTACACAGAAAGATGTATATGGGACTACGTACACGTACGCGACACATGCGTTTTATCTCTCACACACCAATAGATAAACTAATTTACCAAATATATCAATTAGTAGTTTTTTATCATCATGTATTATTCAAAACATATTCTTTCACATGATTGGTAATAAGAGCTTCCATTTAATTTTTATGAAATTGGGGGCGTTTCCAATACTCAGGCTGGTCTTTACCTTTAAAGACAATCCGCGGTAATGTTTGTGTGCACCTTAGTTTTGCAGGGCCAGCTGATCATGTATTTACTATGCATAATACCATGAGCTCTCGGCATTGTACACGGTGAATACATAACAAGCTGGCCCTAAGCAGTTAAGGTGCACACAAACATCCCTGTGGAACATCCTAAAACCACTCAACAATGACACCTCTCCATATTATTGGTATTATGATATTACCTGATAGGTGTTGATGGTCCTAGCCCAAGCATATTGGAGCTTGGACCTAGTTCTCATCTCCTTGAAGTCCACATCAAATAGAGTACCTTCTTCCTCATCCATTGACTGAAGAGTGACAATCTCCTTTTTCTTCCCGTTATTCTCCACCACTAATCTCATCTGGGGATGTTAATGAAACAAACAAAAGATTCACCTAATTTGACAAGCAAACAAGGGAAACGCTCTCGGCGGTCTCGCCTGCATTACGCAATTCGATATGAATTGAGGTTGGGACATTATTTATAGGCAGGGTGGCCGATTAGCAGGCCCCCCAAAATGAAATCCTCTGAATATAATCAGCATTTTGAAGTGAATATTGACTAAGAATCATCAGAAGAATTATTTACTATAATTTGTACCAAGATTGATAACTTTAATGGAATATGAATTATGAACAAATAACACAAATTGATTTATTAATTCTCATATTAAGTTGTGAAACATAATCCAAGTCTACTGACCTAAAATGACCTTTGACATTGACTTTGTGACCTGGAATTTGTGTCATATGAGTTGTGATATTTGATAACCCTTGTGTACAAGTTTCATGGAATTTGAACAAACACTTTTGAAATTATGCTAAAAATACAAAATGTTGATGTTGATAATAATAATACTCAGTTCTTTTATAGCGCATAACACATTACAGGATAGCATGTCCCTATGCGCTTGATGCCACAAGAAAGTCTAAGTTTGCAGACCTGAAATTACATTTGACCTTGACTTTGTGACCTGAAAGACTAATCACATGATCAAGATACTTGATAACCCCTATGTTCAAGTTTCATGGAATAGTAATGTATACTTCCCCAGTTATGATAAAAATTCAAAATATTAACCTTTGGTTAAGTTTTGATGTTGATGCCACAACATAATCTTCCGGTAAGTTTGTTGACCTGAAATGACCTTTGACCTTAACTTAGTGACCTGAAATTCTACTCACAAGATTGGGAATACTTGATAACCCTTTAGTATAAGTTTCATTTAATTATACTTTCAAAATTATATTAAAAATTCAAAAACTTAACCTGAGGTTCAGTTTTCAATGATGATGCCACAACATAGTCTAAGTCTGTTGACCTGAAATGACCTTAGACCTTGAATTTGTGACCAGAAATTCTACTCACATGATTGGGAATACTTGATAGCCCTTTAGTCTAAGTTTCATTGAATGAAAACTTATACTTTCAAAATTATACTAAAATGTATACCCATAGAATTCATTACTATACAAGAAATTATCTAAATTTCATGAATGCAAAGTTATAATTCATGATTGAATAAAGCCAAGTTCAAGCTATTTTGATGCTTGTGTTGGCCCCTACGTCAGATTTTTTTAGTGGACCTGATTACTGTATGAACTTCTTAGCCCCACTCCAAAGCGGCGCCTATGTCTCGCTTTTTGCTACGCAGGAGAGACAAAAAACGAATGTTAATTATGCATTAGTGTCCATTCTTTCAACATTTTACTTTTAATCACTTTTTGTTAGAAATTGCTAGTTCATGGCAAAGATTTACTAAAAGGCTTACCAGCTTGAATTCATCATGTTGTATCGGCTTTGTCATTGCAAAAAAAAATCATGATTCCAGCAGAGGTAACATATTTCTTCCTCTATAAAAGTATGTTATATGCATTTGACAGCTAATTAAAAAACACAAACATAAATACACAATATCGTTTCTGGCCGTCATACAATTAGGGTGGGCTGTTTTATAGTGCTTATATCTTTCAGCCATTATGCTCAAGGTCCCATGTGTAACCTCATTCAGAACATTGCTTCCTTTCACTTACATTTTCAATGAAGAAAGTATCTCCATTGCTGATCTTCTCTTCCTTCATCTTGCTCGGGCCTGCCTGACCCTCTCTTTGTTTCTGGTTGTCCACCTTGACCTCACTCCCTTCTGCCTCTCCCTCTCTTTGGACCTCTTGCTTCTTGGTCGTGATGGTGGAGTTTTTCCTAGCACAGATCTTGTCGTCGATATGATGATTATGCCGTTGACCTTTCCTGAATGGAGCATGCGCAGCGTAGTAGTGACAGCATACTCTGTTGAGGTTCTTAACATCCTCACTGGGAATATCAAGCAAAAGAAATGCATACATTTGATTTCATTCATAAAGAATGCCTGCAGTGCTTCTCAAGCATAAGAAAAAAAACTATTCTGTCATCATTTTTATTCAGATCTTATCATTATATTCATTTCATACGGAGGACCAATTAATTCCTATGGAGTCTAATTTCAGCAGAATCTTTGGCAATATCTAAATCAAGTATTGAGTTACATTTGTTTTCAGAGCATAAAAGACAACTAATATTTTTATATTTTCAGATGATTTAATTCATTCTGATATCATATGTAGTTTATTCCTTCACTACGCATCTGCACTTCAAAATAGTGAACTACATTGATGGCAAGTCATAAATGCTATGTGTCATTTTCACTACAAAATAATTTGTATTTTTTACCATAGACTGTACATAGACTTCAATTTAAAAAAAAACAATCTGGAACAAAACTTGGTTTGACTCAACTTGCAAGAAAAATCATGCAAAATCCTGAAAACTAAATCTGCTGGATCAACAACATAACTGAGATATACAAGGTCTCTGCCAAATCTTACTTTCTGAAGGTCACAATCTGGGAGTTTTTGTGATCTTGGAGCTGGCGCTTGGTCTTAATCAGTCTGTCTAGAATTTGCTGTTGACCTAAAATGTTACCAAGCAAAAAACATCAATTTAGAGAGAAGGTTGACTTCTGGACAAGATGAAACATATTTTGAGAGTTTACATTCTTTTCATGTTATTGGGGAAGGATATTAAGGATTAATGAGGGAAATGCTCTCGGCGGTCTCGCCAGCGTTGACGCCGCCGGAAAAGCGGTGCCTATGTCTCGCTTTTTACTATGCAGGCGAGACAAAAAACCCTGAAATGGTTTGCTCTTGAAAACGCCTTTTATAGGGGATACATATTCAAAATATAATGAAAAAATGGCTGAAATGTTTGGACCATATTTCAATAATGACATTGGTTGTTTTTACAGCGCAAATATCCACCACGCAAAGTGCTCAAGGCACTCCAATATTACCCTGGCTCTGCTAGGCTACAGATTTAGGTGCTCACATCATTCAAAAAATTCCTTCCTACTGGTACCCATTCAACACCTGGGTAGAAAGTGGCATATATGTACATTAATGTCTTGCCAAAGGACATAACTGCCATGGCGGGACTTGAACCCTGAAACATCTGACCGACAGTCGAACCCGAGCCTGGCCCTAACATCACTTGTCACTCTCAATCCAGGTGTACCCAATATGCTAGGGCGCTACATATTTGGACCCTTGACTATGGCTGGGGACTGAGGTAACAATGTTGAAGTGACTGGAGCATCAGTGCTTAACGGACATGAGTACTATATAAGAAGCTACCATTGTTTTCCTATTGTTATACTATTGTCATTACCCTGGATACTCACCATTACCAGCCTCACAGTCTGAGGTGTCAATCATTTCGAACCTGTCAGGCTCATAGACGAGGTCACTCTGTCTCTCCTCAGCGATCATACGTGCGTTCTCGACGATGAGTCTGCCGCCCTCATCAGTCCGGTGATTCTTCTTCAGGGTCTGGATGAAGTTAAGATTGGTAGTCTGGAAAACTGGAGAGAGAGAGGGGAGAAAGAGTATAAGAGGGGAAAAGAGAGCAGAGAGAGAAGAAGACAGAAAACGTTGGAGAGAGAGAGAGAGCAAGTGAGAAAGGATGGAGAGAAAGAAAGTTGGATAGATCGAGGCAGAGAGATGGAGGGAGAGGAAGAAAGATGGAGGGAGAGAAAGAAAGATGGAGGGAGAGGAAGAAAGATGTGGTAAGAGAAAGAAATTGAATTGTGAAAGAAAGAGCAACGCATAGAGAGAGATGGAAAGTAAGAAAAAGTCCCAAATGAAGCTTTATCTTCATTTGGGAGATTTAGAAGTGATTTCATGTACTGTATACAAACAAAATGTATGCACTGTAAAGCACGCAAGGACTTCTTTGATACTTTTTAACTCCTAGGAAATACCATGTGTTCCAAATTGTATGCATATAGTCAAATCTGTCTGTTAACGCCATCCAAGGTAAACAAAAAGAGGCCACTGTAGACAGGTGGCCTTTCTAAACAGGTTATTCAACACTTATTTCCTTCGAGAGGGAAGCAATTTAGCTGACCACTATAGACAGGTAGTCTTTTTATAAAGGTGGTCACTAAGACATGTTTGACCATACTCAACAAAATAAATAGCATACCTTTGATAATATCTTTGAGGAAGTTTCCTGGGTCGATTGACGGGAGTTGATGCTGGTCACCCAAGAGGATGACCTTCTTTAGGCTGTAGTCCAGAAGCCTACTCAAGACCTCCGACAAGACTGAGATGGGAACTAGACTGCATTCATCCACGACTAGGATCTCCACGTTGCTAAATATCCCATGATTGGACTTGCGGGCGGTGCCCAGGACGCTGTGGAGGGTCGTTGCTTTCATTCCAGTGCGTCTCTTGAGTATAGAGGCTGCACGGCCAGTAGGCGCTGTCAGAAGGATCACAGGTTTGTCCCGGTCCTCATCCTTCTCCTCCTCCCTATCTCCATCATTACCCTCCTTCTCCTCTTTCGTATCCTCAGAACAAACCGGCCTCTCACCATCCTGCATCTCTTTACTTGGTTCTTAAGGGAAATGGAGGGAAAGTCAAGATTACATACTGTCAACATGCATCATATAGGTATTACTCCTTCATCTTTATCTTTAAGATATATATACTACAATGACTTAATAAACAGAATTAGTTAACATTCTATTTTTGCACAATTTAAAAGTGGATTCAAGCATGTAAATGAAAAAAATGGGATGATTTAAAATTTGCGCAGGCAACACCTTCATGACTTAAATTTAAGCACAATTCCACACTACAAGTATCATCAAAGTCACTTTACAAATTTCTTTCCGTTGATATAATTTTTTGACTGCTGTTATGATTATGATGTAATTTTGCTACAATAAACATTTGTTTTTCTAACTTAAATCATCATACCATTATTAGTTACATTTTGATTTGTTACAGTTGTTCGCATTAATAGGATTTTAGACATTTGTAAGCTTTTTTAGTAAATGAAATTGAACTTGAACTTCAAATTGATTTAAATAAAAGAAATCATCAAACCTTTGTACTTTCTGATGATCGAGGCTACGACGTGAGTCTTTCCTTTTCATCTTTATTTTCAAGATATATACACCACAATGACTCAATAACCAGAGTTAGTTAACATTCTATTTTTGCACTTCCCGTAACTTGTAGCATTATTTCAAAATAGCAATTTATAGGTGATTCAAGCATGTAAATGAAAAAAATGGGATGCTTTTAAATATGTACAGGCAACACCTTCATGACTTAAATTCATGTCTAATTTCAGACTACAAGTATCATCAAAGTCACTTCACACTTTTCGTTCTGTTGATATAATTTGTTTTCTGCTGTTATAATGTAATTTTGCTACAATAAATATTTGTTTTCCTAACTTAAATCATCATACCATTATTATTTACATTTTGATTTTGCTTTTTGTTCGCATTAATAGGATTTTAGACATTTGCAAGCTTTTTTTACTATAATAAATAATAAATGAAATTGAACTTGAAATTGATTCAATTAAAAGAAATCATAAAACCTTTCATTTTTGTAAGTCTCCTATTCTCCTCAAGGTGGTCTAGGTACTTTCTGATGATTGAGGCTACAACGTGAGTCTTGCCACACCCACCCCTTCCTAGGATAACCGTCAAGGCGTTCTTACATACATGGAGTGCTGCCTCCTGTTGGTGGGGGTCAAAGTTGAAGTCCGTGAAATCTTCAACAGGCAGGGTCCATGGGTCAGCCTCATGTTGGTCGAGCAGTGTTTCCATTGATCCTGCGATACTCTTCTCGTATCGGCGATACTTGCTCCAATGGAACTTTACGTCCGATTCTGAAGTTTTTCTGTAGATGAAAAAAAGACAAAGGAAACATGAAACTGCACCAAAAGCAGGCTTGCGATTGAGAATTTTTTCTTTAGAGCCTACCCAACCACAATAGGCATGGGCAGAGATTCATTTTTTTAAAAATAATTTGGAAAAGTGCAGGTGTGCATCAATAAAAAAAGAACAATAGGATCTAGAGAAAACAAATAAAGGCAAAAAAAAAAAAAAATTAAAGGCAAAATTACAGCAACAAAAAAGGACTTACTCTTCTATCTTCACCACTTTCCTGTTCTGAAGCTCCACAAAGGGTTCCTCTCCGATGTGGCCAAAAGGAACATTCTTGCAGGCATCTTTGCACCACGCTTTCTTCATGTCACTCTCATACAAGAATGTGTGTTTGCCGTCCTTACACCAATACTTTACGATGTCGTAGAGCTTTAGTACCTTAGCCATCTTGACTGAGAGTGTTTTAAGTTTTTTGTTTTGCTTCGCTTTTGGTTTGGACGAAGAAGGTCCGACAGTGTCTTGGTTGGCAGTGGATGTGGAGGGTTGGTCAAGAGTGCAGTTCTGCTTGCCAGTGGACTTGGACGAGGGGCGTAGAGCAGAATCTTGGTTGGTCGTACACTTGAAGAGGTTTGGCGGTATCATACCAGCATTCACAAAGCCTTGGAATGAAACCTCAATGGTACCCCAGTTGTGCTCTCTCATGGACTGCAATTATTATAGGGATAGAGAAAGATCATACATGTAGGCTTCATTAGGATGTTAATGAAAGTCGAGTATTGCAAAAAAAGCAACTTTACGCACTTTGCCACTTTTTGATACTTTTTTTTGCGGGTTCAGACAACTTATTTATTGCAATTCAGAATCAAGATAAACCAGTTTACTTTGCAGTGATATTTCATTACCAGAACAATAACATTACCTTTGCACTAAATAAGCGAAATTTAATTACCGGTATGATAAATATTATAATGATAGTGCCTCTAAGGGACTAACTTTTGTTTATAAAAGGCCCAATCATTGTGGAGCGGTGTGTGCAAGGCTTTGTAACCGCAAGGAAAAGGCGCTATATCAAATAACTTTTGATTGATTCTTTGATTTCCTTCTTATATAGCATTATTGTCCATGACGCTCCTGGCACTCCAACATTATTACCCAGCCATAGCAGAGCTAGTGTCCAATATGTAGCATTCTAGCCGCTATCAGATACCCATTTACACCTGGGTGGAGGGTGGCAAATTGGGGATTAGTGCATATCGGTCTTGCCAATGTCTTACCGTATAAAATCCCAGGTCTTCGGGGGAGTTCTTCAGCACCGACTCCAGTCGTTCCAGATCTTCCAATTTCTCTGTAGACAGGATAGACAACGCTACTCTCTCCATCAACAGAGGAAGCACTTTGAAGAGTTGCGGAAACTTGAAACATCTGTAGACGTACCACAGATCAACTGTGCAAAATTAGTTTTTAAAAAATAAATGTTTCACTCATATCGTGCCCCCAAAAAAACAGTTCCGTGCATGCGCTGGCATGCCACGCGCTCACATAATCAGGTTTCCGGTTGCTTGCCATGCACACATAAACTCTTCTTAATAAATAAATTTCTTACAACTTTCATGTTCAATTTTTGTTATACAACATACGGATGAGAAATTATAGTGGATCAAACATAGTAAATATTTAAACTACACATACTTGAACCAAGCCTAAAATAAACTTGGCACAGGGATATTAATGGCTGGCACAATAGGGATTAGCACTGTGGCACTGGGTGCATTGCATGGGGGCAGCTTAAGAGTTAAACTAGATGGAACTTCGACTGTGCGCAGTCGAAAATGATGCCTCCGCCATAGAGCGATTTCGCAAAACAAAACAGAGGCAATTTTAATTGTAATCCATTAACAGGTTTTCAGAATATCGTGATTACAAGCTATTTTTCATATACATGTATGACCCTTTTATCTTTGACCTCATGACCCTAAAATTTTATCAGTTCATTGGCTTTGCAAGAAAATGTCTCGAGTTTGATGGTAATTCGTCCATCTGTTCTAGTAATAATGCGATCACAAGCTAGTTTTGCATATATGACTCCATGACCTTTGACCTCATGACCCCCAAATCTAATCAGTTCATTGGCTCAGCAAGATACATACATGTCCTGCATTTGATGGTAATCTGTCCATCTGTTCTAATGATGTGATCACCAGCTATTTATGCATATTTAATGAGCCCTTTGACCTCGTGACCCCAAATTCTGATCAATTCATTGGCTGTACAAAATACATACATGACCTAAGTTTGGCAGGAATCCATCAATCGGTTCTTGGGATAACGCGATCACGAGCTGTTTTTGCATACCTAATGAGCACTGTGACCTTTGACATTTGACCTCGTGACCCCAAAATCTAATCAATTCATCGGCTCTGCAAGATACATACATAACCTAAGTTTGGCAGGAATCCATCAATCGGTTCTTGGGATAACGCGATCACGAGCTATTTTTGCATACTTAATGAGCACTGCGACCTTTGACCTCGTGACCCCAAAATCTAATCAATTCATCGGTTCTGCAAGATACATACATCACCTAAGTTTAGCAGGAATCCATCTATCGGTTCTTGGGATGACGCGATCACGAGCTATTTTTGCATACCTAATGAGCACTGTGACATTTGACCTTACCCATAGGAAAGTGAAAAGTATGCCGCAGACCTGCCGCAGACTAAAAGAGTATGCCGAAGTATGCGGCAGAAAGAAATTTTTGCTGCAGATTTGCCGCATACCAGTATGCCACAGGAACAGTCTGCGGCAGATCTGCGGCAGGATGAAATTTTTCTGCAGACTTGCCGCATACTAGTATGCCACAGGAACATTCTGCGGCAGATCTGCGGCAGGATGAAACTTTGCTCCAGACTTGCCGCATACTAGTATGCCACAGGAACAGTCTGCGGCAGGATGAAACTTTGCTCCAGACTTGCCGCATACTAGTATGCCACAGGAACAGTCTGCGGCAGATCTGCGGCAGGGCGAAACTTTGCTCCAGACTTGCCGCATACCAGTACGCCACAGGAACAGTCTGCAGCAAGTCTGCCACAGAAAAGTGGGAAAATTATACAGTCTGAAGCAAGGCTATAGGCGGCCATTTTGTAGGACATGCAGTACCATATGAGGTTGCAGGCTGAGCCCATGATCTTGTAAATTCCTGTGTTAATTAGCACTCTTAATTGTCTTTTTAGCTTCTGTCAAACCAAACAATTTGCTTCAAGTTCAACTGGTACCATAAGAGGAATTTATTACATAAGAGGAGACTGAGGAATTAACGGACTGTTCCAAACTTTTTTGTTGTGCCATATGTGATCTTATCTTCAGCCCCACTAACTCACTTTTTTGTTGTAACTACCCAAGACGAAAATCCAATTGAAACCAATTGAACACCAATTGAATTTTCAATTGGTTTCAATTGGTCTCAATAGGTTTTAACAGGTTTCAAGGGACTTTAATAGGACTTCAGATGGTTTCAATTGGTCCAGATTGTCCCTATTGGACCAATTGGGCCCATTGGCCCCATTGGCCTATGCCCCATTAGACTTTAATGGGACCCCAATTGGCCTGAAGTTGGACTTCAGTTCAGTTGGCCTGAAGTTGGACTTCAGTTCAATTGGTCCAATTGAAACCAATTGAAAACCTTTTAAAGTCTAATGGGGCAGATTGGTCCAATTGAAATCCCATTAAAGTCTAATAGGGCCAATTGAAACCAATCATCTCATGCATATTCATTATTACTTTACATGTGTGACAGAAAAATACATTTATCATGATTTGTTAAGCAAATTAAGACAATGCACATCATTTTTGTGATTTCTATTTTCCTTTTGCCATTATTAACCAATAGATTATTTTGTCTGATCATGTTACAATTACATTCACGTTTTAGCAATAGATATATTGATTACTAACCAAGAAACTATGATTACTAACCAAGAAACAATATACATATTTAGTATATATATGTGTACGAGCCTGTGTCACTTTAAATGTTACTCTTGAATACACTTCAAATGATCTATGTGATGAAGTTAATACAATTGAGAATAGAATATACCTAATTGGTAATATCGGTATATATTGGTATTACCTAATTGGTAATATCGATATTGCCAATATTGATTATGAAGTATCAATCCGTTTATCACTGGTTCTTCTACATGCATACTTTATTGCCACGTACTGGATATATGAAAGAGTATGCGGCAGGTCTGCAGCAGGTCTATATGAGATATGAATATTCATGAAGAAGAGTCTGCTGCAGACCTGCTGCAGACCTGCCGCAGACTCTTCATCATGAATATTCATATCTCATATCTCATCTGAAAGAGTCTGCGGCAGACCTGCCGCAGACTCTTCATCATACTGAAAGAGTATGCGGCAAGTCTGCGGCAAAACTAATTTGCATGTGAAAAAGATGACTGTCTGCGGCAGGTCTGCTGCAGATCTGTCGCAAGTCTGCCGCAGGAGTATGCGGCAGGCTCATTTCTTTCCTATGGGTAGACCTCGTGACCCCAAAATCTAATCAATTCATTGGCTCTGCAAGTTACATACATGACCAAAGTTTGGCAAGAATCCATTAATCGGTTCTTGAGATAACGCGATCACGAGAACGGGACGTACGGACGTATGTATACGGACGGACGGACAGCCTGAAAACATAATGCCTCCTGCTACTTCGTAACGGAGGCATAAAAAGAACATAAAACTCTCGATATGGTTGTGATTCTATTCACAATACACAGTGCATCTAATACAGGAAAACCAGACACTGTCTGGACATGAAACTTGCACTTCTAATGCCCTTTTCACCAGAAGAGACTTTTGCACGGAGCAAAATTGCGGTGTTGTAATTCACGAGATAAATCTGAAATTCTGAACATAGATGATTGACTGACTACTGAAATCTCCTGCAAAAGGACAATCAAGAAAGATCCCCCCTCCCCCCAAGACTTCTGATTTCTTGAAATTACATGTCCTACTTTAGTTCGGGCAATGTAGGATTTTCTTTTTTTTCTTTTGATCTCAATCTTTACTAATTACAATTTCTCTTTCTTCTTATTTGTTATATTTGTTATATTTATTTCATCACCAATGTGGTATTAAGGGTTGTGATTATGGTTTTGGGTTAGATATGTGCTCCTTACATGTAGGTCCAGGGCTAAAGTTATGAATTTGGTTAGTGTAGGATATTGTTATGGTAAACACTGAATGCATCATTTTTCATAGCACTTAATTGTTACTCACAATTTGGCTTCTTCTCCTTTTCATCTCTGTTTCTGGATTTGGGACTGAAGCATTCGTTTGATGGATCAAACCGCTGCATGATTACTTTAGCAACCTGCACAATCGGCATCGCCTTTGTATCGTCGTGTGAGGTCTCTTTCTTGAGAGCATCCTCCAGCACCGTGAAGAATTGGTGAAAGGTATAGTCAGTCAGTCTTCTTCTACCACGCCACTTCTCAAAGTGGTCCCAGAAGGCTTCCTTCATCTGGAACGCTGCACTGCCTAGTTCTGGACATTTGAACACATAGGATAGGAGCTGCTGCAGGAGACTCTTCCCTTTCGGCCCCTTCTTGTTTCGGAGTGTGTACGTGGGGGTTCCCTGGCAGATGTAGACGCCCCCTTCCTTGACAGCTTTAAACGAAGCAATCCACCAAGGTCCATCCATCAGGAACTTACCCTTAACTTTGATCTCTTTCTCTTTACCCCTTTTTTTCATCATCATGCCTGGGAAAAAGTCATATGTATTGAATGTTATTTTATAACATTATCATATTGTCTTGCTGCAAATGTGAAAATTCACTCATCTTATCAAGCTGTTTTACTTGGGTTTTTATTATTTTTATTATTTAGTTTCTTTTTTGCATTGAAATGTTTTCACTTATAGGTTGTAACAGACAATGCTAAATGATTCCCTGATTTTTCAGGTTAACACAATTCAACTCGTTACAATTGTGGGATTCACCAGTATTCAATTAATGGTCAAAAAGTTTTGCTGCAGTAATTAACTTGGAATAATAATAGTAACCAAAAATGAATTACAGTTATAGTAGTCAAACTTTCAAGGGCCTTTTTACACTTTCTGTTCAGACTTGTTTTCAGCAACCCACCCAGTTCAAAACCTCAATTTTTGTAGAACAAGATGGCCTACTTACGCTCCCTTAAAGGAACAGATCTGGCCTTGGCATTAGGAGCTCCACTTTCAACTGCTATCTCTTCTTCTAGTTCTAGCTCCACAAAATCCTCCTCGTCTAAGGCATCCTCAACTTCATCCTCGTCATTGCCATCACCTGCTTGTCTCTCCTGGTCCTTATGGAAATATGCCTGGACTTGAATCACCTGGGCATATGCATCCTTCACTTCTCGATTGTTTTTAGGCATGATCCTTTGTTCTGACGTTCTTGGGCAAAGAATAAAATAATAAAAGGGAATCATTATATTAAGCCTTAATTTCATTACCATGTTGAACCAACTTTTAACCTGTTAACTACTGAATTGTATCATTCATTAGATCCACATTTCTTTCATATCATGGTTTCCTAAATAAAATAAAAAATATGGACAAACTTTCCGCTGGATCGTGGCGAAAATTGTCAGGTTAATCCCCCATGCTCTTGTTCATGCAATGAACATGTCTATATTAGAAGACGGAGATGGGAACTAGACTGCATTCATCCACGACTAGGATCTCCACGTCGCTGAATTTTCCATGATTGGACTTGCGGTCAGTGCCCAGGACACTGTGGAGGGTCATTGCTTTCATTCCAGTGCGTCTCTTAAGTATGGAGGCTGCACAGCCAGTAGGGGCTGTCAGAAGGATCACAAGTTCGTCCTGGTCCTCCTTTCCCTCCCTCCTCCCCAGTTGGAGACGGTTTATTCCAGAAGCTCTGGATGAACGGATGGATGAACGGATGAAATGATTATTTCTGTCTAGACTAGATAGAATTTTTCTTAGTTTAAACTGGTGAGACTCTGAGCTCAGTATCTGAGTGTGAGTGACCACCTCCTACAAAAATATACTATATAGGCCTAGAGCCTAGAGGATCTAGTCTAATACTAGGGTGTCTAATGGCACTCGGTTTTGTGTGCTAAAATCCTTCCCATGCATAGAGATTGCGCACATCACTATGCAGTCCATGAGGGGTCTATTTGCTATAAAAGGACCGCTAATCATAACATATAACTTTCCATACCTGCAGGTCCGCTATTCATAATGCAGGGGTGATAGTGAGCGCTAAAAAATATATAGGATTTTTGTTTTCCCTCAACCACGCCCCCCTCGAGTAAAAAAAAGAAAAAAAGAAGAGGATTCGGGGGGGAAAATGGCATCTAACAACATCCCCCCCCCCCCCTTTTGAGAAAGAAAAATTGGGAAATTAAAGGGAAAAATAGGGAAGAATAGAGAAAATAAGGGGAAAATTGGGAAAAACGGGATAAAATCAGTAGAGCGTCCGCCTCACAACCGGGAGGTCGTTGGTTCGAACCCCGGCCGCATCATACCAAAAGACATTAAAAGATGGGAGTTGTTGCTACCTTGTTTGGCGTTCAACAATAAGGGATAGAGCAACGTCGATCTGGCGCTGCTCAGTGGCTGCCGAGCTCACGATCAATTGGGCAAAAAGAATTTCTGTTTCGGTTTAATAAAATTTGGAGTGGACTTTAAAAGATTATTATTATTATTATTATTATTATTATTATATTTTTTTTAATCAGGAACAAATCAGAAAATTCAACAACAAAAATCAGGAAACCGATTTAAATCAGATTTTTATCAGGCCTGATAATGAGAGAAAAGGCTCACTATTCATAAGGAAATAAGGTCCGTTAATCATTAGGATCGCTATTTATATTACAAATTCGGGGTCGCTATTCTACGAGAAGAGGGTTGCTATTCATAACAAGAACTGAGGGTCGCTATTCATAAAACGACGAGAGGGTCGCTATTCATAAAACGACGAGAGGGTCGCTATTCATAATAAGAGTAGAGGGTCGCTATTCATAACAAGAACTGAGGGTCGCTATTCATAAAACGACGAGAGGGTCGCTATTCATTAATAGGAGTAGAGGGTCGCTATTCATTAATAGGAGAAGAGGGTCGCTATTCATTTACGAGAAGAGGTTCGCTATTCATAATATGGGCAGAGGGTCGCTATTCATTAATAGGAGTAGAGAGTCGCTATTCATAATACGAAATGAGGTTCGCTATTCATAATAGGAGTAGAGGGTCCCTATTCATTAATAGGAGTAGAGGGTCAATATTCATAATATGAGCAGAGGGTCGCTATTCATTAATAGGAGAAGAGGGTGGGCTGGCTATTCATAACTCGAAATGAGAGTTGCTATTCATAATACGAGCAGAGGGTCGCTATTCATAATAGGAGTAGAGGGTCGCTATTCATAATAGGAGTAGAGGGTCGCTATTCATAATAGGAGTAGAGGGTCCCTATTCATTAATAGGAGTAGAGGGTCGCTATTCATAATAGGAGCAGAGGGTCGCTATTCATAATATGAGAAGAGGGTGGGCTGGCTATTCATAACTCGAAATGAGAGTTGCTATTCATAATACGAGCAGAGGGTCGCTATTCATAATAGGAGTAGAGGGTCGCTATTCATAATACGAAATGAGGGTCGCTATTCATAATACAAAATGAGGGTCGCTATTCATGATACAAGAGGTTCGCTATTCATAATACGAAATGAGGGTCGCTATTCATAATATGAAATGAGGGTCGCTATTCATAATACGGGAAGAGGGTCCCTATTCATAATACGACATGAGGGTCGCTATTCATAATACAAGAAGAGGCTCGCTATTCATATGAAATGAGGGTCGCTACTCATTAATAGGAGCAGAGGGCCGCTATTCATAATATGAGAAGAGGGTCACTATTAATAATACGAAATGAGGGTCGCTATTCATAATACAAGTAGAGGCCTAGAGGGTCACTATTCATAATACGAAATGAGGGTCGCTATTTATAAAATACGAAATGAGGGTCGCTATTCATAATACGGGATGATCGCTAGAGTATAGACCCTGTAGCGGCTCTTACATTCGCCCTACTTTTACCGTACATTCATGTCTCCAGTATTTTTCCATCACGCTACTTATTTATATTCATTATTCGGACCACATGTTTTTTCCTTCCAATCGAGCACCGTGGTTCCGCGCATCGTTCACCCGCGTATTTTTCAACGCCACAAGGTTTTTCCTCACTCCCGCTTTCACCTTGTTCGAGTCAAGACGTCTCCGCAATTTCCTCTCCAGGCTTTATTCTTCTGTGCCTTTCGTTTCTTATAAGGCATGTCAACTCTTTCTCTGCCACGTTCATCGGGCTGCAGTCTCCCAGTGGAACGTTATATTCAGGACCGACATGGCGCTTGACTCTCCGCTGGGAGCTGCCAATTTCTTTGTTCCGGTAGCTCTTTCCACTCACGAGCTCATCATTTCACCGCAGCTCATCTAAACATTTCTTCATCAAAGTCCGGCGCATCAAGCGAGCAACTATTACTACTCAGCACCAGTGCCGGCTTTGCATGTCTACCTTTCTACTCTTCGCCTCCGACATCGAACGACCCACTGTTCCGTCGTCGAGCGCCGCATCTCTTCTCTTCTCGCCTGAGAGCTTCTCCATCTACATGTACATTCATCATCATCACGAGCGTCGGCGACGACATCGCGTTCTTCACGGTTCTTTAGCCACGTCAACGAAGTCGCGTTTCCGCCATCAAGCCTCCGCACATCATCGCGTGAGCCCCTTCCTTCGTTTTCATCTCTCTTCATCTTCATTGGACTTTCGACCTCATTTCCACTCTGTCGTAGCTCTATTCATTTCATTGCATTTATTCATCATTACATGACCATTTAAACTCCGTGCAATATTTACGATTCTCATTCTCATTCCGAGTCATTTATATGTGCTTGACTTTGCAAGTGTATAGTCTGCATTATTCAGTACCCAATAAACTAACGAAAGGGGAATACTTGCTTTCATGTATTTTATTGTCAGTGCAACCTTGTTTCCTCGTAGCTAAATAAAAATAAGAGTTATGTTGTGTGACGAGTGAACACGCTTTCAAATATCCATTCACATTACCTCACACACTCATCTCTCTAAAACCCTATTCATAATACAAAATGAGGGTCGCTATTCATAAAACAAGAAGAGGGTCGCTATTCATAATAGGACTAGGAGTAGAGGGTCGCTATTCATAATAATAGGAGTAGATCTAGACTCTATAGAGAGTCGCTATTCTATACGAGAAGAGGGTCGCTATTTATAGAGCAGAGGGTCGCTATTCATAATAGGAGTAGAGGGTCGCTATTCATTAATAGGAGTAGAGGGTCGCTATTCATAATAGGAGTAGAGGGTCGCTATTCACTAATGTGAGCAGAGGGTCGGCAAATAATATGAGTAGATCTAGAGGGTCGCTATTCATTAATATGAGCAGAGGGTCGCTATTCATAATAGGAGTAGAGGGTCGCTATTCATTAATAGGAGTAGAGGATCGCTATTCATAATAGGAGTAGAGGGTCGCTATTCACTAATGTGAGCAGAGGGTCGGCAAATAATACGAGTAGATCTAGAGGGTCGCTATTCATAATAGGAGTAGAGGGTCGCTATTCATAATAGGAGTAGAGGGTCGCTATTCATAATAGGAGTAGAGGGTCGCTATTCATTAATAGGAGTAGAGGATCGCTATTCACTAATGTGAGCAGAGGGTCGGCAAATAATATGAGTAGATCTAGAGGGTCGCTATTCATAATAGGAGTAGAGGGTCGCTATTATTAATAGGAGTAGGCCTAGATCTAGGTCTAGGCCTAGAGGGTCGCTATTTATAATAGAGTAGAGCCTAGGGTCGCTATTCATCCTGCCACAGGGCTCCCCATTGTGCCAAGCCACAAATCCCCCCAGTGCAAAATTTATAACGAGATAATCGGATTAACGCGATGGTACTACTAATAATCGCGTGCAAAACACTAGGCACAGTCCAAATTAAGGGCATGAACAATAATAGACCGAAAGCTTCAGTCTCTGATATCGACCGCCTGACCGCCTCTAAACATAGACTGATCGAAGTACGGCCTATGCCGTACTAGTGGAACAAATGGTTCGGTTCGGCAGGACCGCGATGAATGAGATATGCTTACCAGATGGTTACCAGATTTTTACTAATGGGATGCAAAACTAATAATTGTTTTCATCTTGATAATAATCTATGTAATAATTAACATTTCTGTTGAGTTAATTCCTAGTATTTTACTTTCTTATTCTATTTACATGTGATACAATTTTTGTGATATGTACATAACTTTGGTGTCCTGCAAATTTCAAACCTTACTAACTGAAGAATGGTGTATAAATAATTGATTTATTTACAAGCTTGCAATGTTATAATGTTTAGTTTCACTTTATCTTTGATTTCCAATCAGATCATCTCATTCTGGGTCATGGTTTAAAAAATATTTAGATGTCTGTAAATGGAAAATGTTTGGTGTCCTGCAGTTATGTACATGTACATACTAGTGCACCAGAATCTATACAAAAACATATTGTATACTTTCAAAATGACAATGTAATGGTGTATATAGGTGAATGAAGAGCACTGATAACATTGGATTCCGCATTCTAACTTGTATGTGTTATTTAATCAACAATGAATGTGGACACCGAGTTACATGTACATGTATGTACGTGACAGTTACAGGTATGTACGTATTCCATGTTTTGTTTTTGGGCAGGTCCAAGCTATTTGGATTGTGACGTACGGGACATTCAGAGACTTTAAACAAGAAATAACAATGGATGAAATTATTTATATGGCTATCTTTTGGTATGAGTCTGTGGCTATTATGGGCTAGTTCATTTGTGGAAAGTTTTAGTTCTGACCAATTCATAAATTAATTTTTAATGTAATTAATGTGCTGCGTGACGTACGGGACCAGAGAATTTCTGACTTTTTCAAAAATAAGTTCGTCGTATAAATTCTCTGAATTTATTAAGTTATGAGATTTATGGTAATGATATCTTAATTCATTATGGAATCAAGCATTAATCACAACTATAACCATATTTTTCTGACCTTCCGTTGTTATGTTATATACCAAAACATAAATGTGTGTATGTGACGTACGGGACACGTGACGTACGGGACAACTTTTCCCTATGGGAAAATGCATTGAAATGAAGAATTTTCGTCAAAATTTGTTAAATATGAACAATTTTAACTTAAATCAGTGACAATTAGAGTGTTTTAGAACCCAATTAGATCCTCTGACCATCACTCAATATCCTCTGTGTTAATTTATGAGGTAAATCAATACAAATATTACTTTAATAAAGAAAACAAATTAAATTACATTCATACACACACACTATATTACCATTTTTATTCCATTTACCCATCTGTTATGTGCAGTCATGCTTCTTTTCTCATTTCTTTCATCCATTCCATTCAACAGTGCTACATGTACATGTAAATGTTTTAAAATAATAATTAATGAAGAAGATGAACTTGAACTTGAAAACTTTCATTAAAACTTGTTTGAAACACAGGGGCACACTCGGCACATCATATTTTGTGAACAAAGATACAGTACATTACAAATATGAAATCTTTTCTTCATAGCTTGTTTGAATTACTTGATAGTAATATAGAATTTTGAAGGAATCTTTTTATCACAGATTAGAACATGTACATGTATATGTTGCTGTCATATATTCAAGAATTTTAATGTACCGGTACATTAATGTACATGTTTGTGAAAGATGGATACAGAAATATAAATCTTGAATGTATTTTGTATTGATTAAAGACATCTTATTAACACCACCAGATATAATAAATTAAAACCCTAAAAGTTTGTGTGACCTTTTCCACAATTCAACAAAAATGCATGGGTGTAAAAGTGATGAAAATTCTAAGTGGGTGAGAGTGAGAGAGGCTGTCCTTCCTTAAAAGTTATGATTTAGTTTTTAGGAGATCAAAATTCCTGAGCTGGCTCCATAACATGTACATGACTGTACTATTATGATTTACATATTTAGCATCCTGTCAATGTTGGGGACATCAACTGGCAAAATACCAAAGTTGATAATACCAGGGGTCTGGCTTGAAGACTAATTACATCAATAAATATTCATAATTGAATGACACATGCCTTTAAGACTAAAACAATAACAACAACAACAGTACAAGTAAATTCCTAGAAGGGAACCAGTTGGAATGTTCATATATCCCTGTATACAACAAGTTTCCTAACACATATATATTCTCCTTTTGGTCATTTCCTTTTTTCACATCTTGCATTGGTTTTATATGGGGTTGTCCCGTACGTCACACACTTGTCCCGTACGTCACATTTCTTAATTTGATTATGTAATCAACACAGAATTTTCGTAATTTTTGTTAAACCTATTTTTTTGTTAGGTATTCATCTAAATTAGAACTTCCTAGAATATCTTTTAAAAAGAATATTATTTTCATAATTAAAATTAAACAAATTAATGTCAAATTGTGACGTACGGGACATCACACTTTGGAACCTACCTCATTTGCATAATTAATTAATTTTGAAAGTTTTTATATTTTTTTCCTATTTTCTAGTATGATGGTCTACATGTCCTAAAATATTTAATTTTGAAAAAATAATTCAAATGAGATACAAAAATAAAAATGTAATGTCCCGTACGTCACGCTAATTAACACAAATCAAAGTTCGTGACCTTGGCATTCTTCGTATTTTGATAATTTTTTAATTTTTTTATCAGATTCATAAAATTCATAGTTTCAGCTTTAAAATGATGTATAGTTTGTTGAATATATATAAAGATGAAATTTGACCCCCAAAGGGGACAATAGCTTGGACCTGCCCTTTTCCAATAATATTTAGTTATTTGTCATGGTATTAAAGGTAGTAACAAATGTATAAGACATACACACATCTGATTTGGTGAGAAGAATATTACAAAATATTGCAGTTTGAACTTTTTCATGTCATGTATGAAGGGGTGACCAAAGTTCGCGGACATTTTAGAACATATTACAAAATGTGATATTCGATCTATGATTTCTCATATTCTACACAAATTTATTTATTTCAATTATTACCAAATGGACGGCAAAGTTTTTTACTACAGATTGGTTTAACTAGAAAAATTTACCGTCAAAGGATTTCGGAGATATCGCGATCTAAAAATTCGATGTCCGATCGTGCGTGCGCGCTGCATCTAAAAAAGTCATAAAAACAATGAGACCTAACTTCACGCACGGTGGTTTACAGTTGATTTATCAAAAAATGCGTTCCATCAAAAATAAGGTAATATCATAATTTGCAAGGCAAGATATCGTACAATCAGTTAGTACCACTCTTTACTTACAATTTTGAGGATTTCTGATCTCAAAATGAAGATTTCCAGACCCTTATCGGTAAGTTGATAATTTTTCGGAACGGACGCAAATAACTGCAAAATTTGCCGATCTTTTGTCAATATTTTCACAATTTCGCACCCAATTCTAAAGAAAATTTCGTTTTGGGGTAATTATGTGACCCTCTTTCCATTGGTGATATCAGATTTTCGAAATCTTACCGATTTTTTGAGAAAGCGAACTTTGGTCACGCGCGAACTTTGGTCACACCGCCATACATAACTAAGACACCATTATGAAAAGACACCGAGTTATGTACGTTACTACCAATCAAAAATTTGAAATAATTATCATATATAAATTTATTTATTCCATACAGAATGAATTGCACCCTTTTGCATTTTAATTTAAACAAACCTTTATTGAATTTAAGGAACAAGAAGTTATTATTTGAATGTAAAACTACTTACTTTTGGTGTCCACAGTTATGTACGATTAAGTACAGAAATCTTACATTTCAGTCCTGAAATAGTAGTTTACAAACTATTTACACATTGCAAATTATGTTTCATTCAGGAAACACATCATTCCTTCAATTGAAGTCGTTATCAGACTAATGCAAAACCTTATCTGACAATGAGGCAAAGAGAAAGCATGTAGAGAATAAGATGTATCATCTATGTACTGTACATAACTCGGTGTCCACATTTGTTTTGGCCATATTCTAATAACTATAAATTGAAAAAAGTTGATATGGCAATGGTTTTAAGTTTTGTTTACAGTATGTTTTAACATCTAATGTACTTTGTCAGAAAAAGTAAAATTATAAGGGAAATATCATCAGGAAGTGGACACCGAGTTATGTACGTAACATTTTTGATGATGTGATATTTAGCTACTGATTGCCACTTAACGGCAATTTGTTAAGGTCTGATTTTTTAGCTATAGTCTAGACTATGTTGCATAATGTTTGCAGATTACAAAAATAATATTGCCACAGTCTATAATTGACTTTTAAAATTCACCCCATATGTAACACTTTTGTGCCCTTGATCAGAGCCCTGCACATATAAGTCAATAAATTTCGCATTTGTATAATAGGTCAATCATTATTATTTAGTGTAAATAGGAGTACAATACATAGGCCTAACTGTTAGACCTAATTCACATCTGATTTATAAATCAGAAAATTAGATCTAGATCTAAATAGATCTAACAGTTAGATCTAGTGAAAATCGGGGGAGAAAGCTCAATGACCATAAGTGGCAGCTGGATTGGCCAGATTACCTCCTCGGTGCGAGACCTCTGGGTAATTACCGTCTGTATATGGGGAATGTCAACAAAAATGTCAGTTTTATTAAAGAAATGACCCATATCAGACGGTTATTTCTGTCTAGAACAATAACTGCTAGGCCTATTACGAATGCGTGCAATCATGCAAGAAGCAGAGTAACAGTCAGTAGCTTGCTCGTGTGTACAAAGCACTAACAATAGCGTGCATGCAGCCTTATGAATTATGGCAGGCTATTCTAGCAGAGGGTCGCTATTCATAATATGAGCAGAGGGTCGCTATTCTAATAGGATTCTACTTCTAGGCCTAGACTAGAGGGTCGTTATTCATAATTTTAGGAGCAGTGCCAGAGGGTCGCTATTCATATTAATTAGGAGTAGACTCTAGAGGGACGATATTCATTAATAATAATACGAGTAGAGGGTCGCTATTCATAGTATGAGCAGAGGGTCGCTATTCATAGTATGAGCAGAAGGTCGCTGTACTCGATCTGTAGACCCTACATCTGAATAATTTGATCAAGTACTTACCCGTCTGTTGTCTAGCCTGTTGTTGCTTTATACTGCCACAGATCTACTGATCGAACTGCTCCCCAGTCTCACTCTCAAGTCTCAGTCTCACAATGACCCAGTCGTTCAAGCTCATATGCAAACTCTAAAATGTTTACTATTCCTGTCATAGCTGCATCCCGTTTCACAAAGCAAAGCCTTTTATTCAAAGATAAATGACAAAAATCAGTGACAAATCATTTAATTGTCACTGATTGTTGTTCAACCAAGCGTTTTTCTCCGTGCAATATCAGTTCCCGCGATCATATCAGCGATCGAGAGCGCGCGCGCCTATTCTGTGATGTGTAAACATACTGTTACAGAAATTGGTAGACCGAATTTTCCGTCTCTTTCGTTCGTTAGCCTCTTATTGGGGTAGAGTCGGCTCTCTCTTTAGAGACCAAAACGGACTATCCCGCGAAATGTGTAGGGTTATGTGGGCAAATCAGCACACCAAACTTGCAAAACTTATCCCCGAATTACTCCTTTCACAGGATGCATACCGGTATCCGATGCATGTTGTTATATTGTAAATTAGGTTAAAACTTAACTACTTCGGTTCCACTTACCAACTTGACTGAAATAATCCGTTTAATGGTCCATTTTTAGGAAATTATGGGTCAAAATCGATATCCATGATGAAAATCTTGCAAGCCGTGTTAAACTCTCGCTGCCGGAGTCATCTAAATCTAAATCTTCTTCTTCTTCTTCTTGATTTGTTTTTGTTTGGCAATCAGTCACAGTTGACTATTTTTGCCACACACTATTTTAATAGTGTCATTTATATACCTCACTTAACATTTCAATATTTTTAATAACCATGGTTATTAAAAAAATAGGTCAGTCTCCATGGTTACCCCATAGGTTTACATGTTAAAAAATGGTTTGAGCGATGGAGGATACCATACGTGTGCGAAAAATTGGTCGGCAATTTCAATACAATTGAATCTCGATCGATCTTACCGACAATTTTATCTTGCATTGTTGACTTGAAGACGAAAATTAACTCTCAAAAACAAAAAAACAACATCTGCCGATAGATCTTGATCTAAGTTCGTGCCAATATGCATTGCAAAAGTAAAAGAAGGGTCCGTTTCATGGAGCTTTTGCGAAGCATTCCTCACGCGGAGCCGTTTTCAATCCATTTTTTAAGTAATATTGACTGCCTTCTGGGCAATACGACATATATCGCCCGAACCACCTCCAGTCAAAACTCTTCTTCGGAGTATTTAGGAGGAAAATAAATCCAAGAACCGAAGGTGAGGGTGATATATGACAAGTCGTATTGCCCTGAATTAGGCAGTCAATATTACTATTATTAACCACATCAGACATCTAGAGCAAACAAGAAACTCTTACTATCTTATACTCTTAAATTATGTAGGCTACACAGGGTTTCCTAGCATTAGAAGTTGCAAAAACATTGTCAAACCAGCACTGTTTATCCAGTGTTTGACAGATTTTCGATACACTGCAAACAGTTTGCCTAGGGTGTGATTGTTACGTCACAATGGAGTTCGCGCAAAGTGCGCATTTTCTAATACACGATGCGCGATGTAAATTACAATAGCTGATGCGCGATGTAAATTACAACTGGCACTACATTATTGCGCACTAGTTTAACACGCATTTTGCCATTGACTTTTCAGAGCGGGCTAAAATATTTGTCCATTGACTTACTGTATAACCTATATTGCCCGCCAAATTACACACAAATCCCATTGACTCTTCTGAGCGGGGTAAAATATTTGCGCATTGGTTTTCTATATAACCTATATTGCCCGCCAAATTACACACAAAATCCCATTGACTTTTCTGCGCGGACTAACTTATTGTAATTTTGTTGACTTATCCATCAAAACCTTGAGGGCAATACCATTTAAAAATTGCCCTGCTCAGATGTCTGATACGGTTAATAATTATATAATATTGACTGGCCTTGAGGGGTATATCAGAAATATTGACCAAGCTCAGATCATATTGCCCCGAGTCGAAAGACGAGGGCAATATGGTCTTAGCGCGGTTAATATTTCTGATTTCCCCCGAAAGTAAAGCCAGTCAATATTTTTATTGTTATCCAAATCAGACATCTAGAGCAAATACAGAAATCCACCATGACAATCTCAAGAACTGAACAAACTTTGTCAAACCAACACTGTGCATCCAGTGCTTGACAAAATTTTCGATACACTGCAAACAGTGTGTATTTGGTGTGATTATTACGTCACAATAGAGTGCGCGCAAAGTGCACAGGTTCTCGTACGCATAATAGATGCGCAATGAAAATGCGACGGGGTCAATACAAGATGCCTGGATATGATGTGAGACCGTGGAAAATACCAAGGTATATTTTCACTCGTCTCTACACGCAAAGTCAATACGCGCAGGGAGACCAAGGAAAATACAAAGAATATACCCCTCCGTTCCCACTGATAGTGAAAACTAGGGCAATACGGTTTTGTAAATGACCAGCTCAGATGTCTGATATTTTTAAATGTTATTGCCCTCAAGGTTTAATGGATAAGTCAACAAAATTACAATAAGTTAGTCCGCTCAGAAAAGTCAATGGGATTTTGTGTGTAATTTGGCGGGCAATATAGGTTATACAGTAAACCAATGCGCAAATATTTTAGCCCGCTCAGAAGAGTCAATGGGATTTGTGTGTAATTTGGCGGGCAATATAGGTTATACAGTAAACCAATGGACAAATATTTTAGCCCGCTCAGAAAAGTCAATGGCAAAATGCGTGTTAAACTAGTGAGCAATAATATAGTGCCAGTTGTAATTTACATCGCGCATCAGCTATTGTAATTTACATCGCGCATCGTGTATAAGAAAATGCGCACTTTGCGCGAACTCTATTGTGACGTAACAATCACACCCTAGGCAAACTGTTTGCAGTGTATCGAAAATCTGTCAAACACTGGATGAACAGTGCTGGTTTAACAATGTTTTTGCAACTTCTAATGCTAGGAAACCGTGTGTAGCCTACATAATTTAAGAGTATAAGAGAGTAATAATAATAATATTTGCATTTATATAGCGCTCATTACAGTAAATGTATCACAGCGCTTTACATATCATATACATATATAAGAATATCAATAACAAAATAACTCATGAACTGATTACATTTCCTGATTACGCATAAAAAAATAAAAAAAATTGTCTTACAAAATAACTTATAAACTACATGTAATATTACAGGTACAGATTAAGTATTAAATAGAAATGTCTTAAGGGACTTCTGGAACTGAGAAAGGGAAGACGACGTCCGTACGTTCTGGGGGAGGTTGTTCCATAGGCGTGGTGCAGCAGAAGAGAAGGATTTGTCACCTGTACATGTATTGGTCCTTGGAACTGCGAGTAGTGCTGGGTCATTGCTTGATCGGAGCCCTGGTCTTGCTGTTTGATGCTTACGTAAGAGTTTCGTGAGGTAGTTGGGAGCAGAATTATTAAGACATTTGTATGTAATAGTCAGAATTTTGTATGTTATGCGCTTCTCAACGGGGAGCCAATGAAGTTGTTGTAGGAAAGGTGTTACATGGTCGTACTTCTTGGCCCGAAAAACCAACTTTGCAGCACGGTTCTGAGCTCGCTGCAGACGCTTCACATTTAATGCAGAAGTGCCACAGAGAAGGGAGTTTGCGTAGTCGATCCTAGACGAGACGAGCGCTCTCACAGCATGCTCACATGCAGACTGGTCCAGGAAGGGCCTGATGCGTGCTATGTTGGACAAATGAAAGTGAAGCGAACTGGATAGAGATGACACGTGGCGATTCAACTTCAGATTAGCGTCAATCTCAACACCCAAACTTCGGATAGAGGTTGAAGGCTCGATAACTGTACCACCAATGGTCAGAACAATCCCTGATATGAGATGTCGATAGCGTGGACTAGCAACAATAAGGAAATCCGTTTTTTCAGAGTTCAGTTTCAACATGTTGCTCTTCATCCATTGTTGCAGATTGATGATACACGCAGATAATGACTCAAGAGCAGCTGTCATTGCATGCCTGTCCTTTGGATCGACAGAGATGTACAGTTGCACGTCATCTGCATAGATGTGGTGTTGTATCCCTGCATGATGCTTGATGATATCAGCTACAGGATGAGTGTATAAACTGAAAAGTTGAGGACCAACCACTGAGCCTTGTGGAACTCCGAATCTCAGAGGTTTTTGTTCTGATAGCTCATTCACAACCTTCATCCTGAAGCTTCTGTCTGACAGGTACGAGTCAAACCACGATCTCACCATTCCTGAGATGCCAAAAAGCTTGTCCATACGCTGTAGAAGTATTGTGTGGTCAACACAGTCAAACGCAGCAGACAGGTCCAGGAATACGACAAAGGTAACCAACCTGTTGTCCAATGCTCCCAGAATGTCATTTTGTACTTTTAGAAGAGCAGTCTCTGTACTGTGCCAACGGCGGTAAGCTGACTGGTTCTCAACGTTCAAATCATGTTCGTCCATGTGGTCCGAGAGTTGAGACAATGCAGCCTTTTCAATGATTTTTGATAGAAAAGGGACGTTTGAGACAGGCCTGTAGTTCTTCAGATCTTCCCTATCAAGATTGCTCTTCTTGATCAGTGGAACTACCACAGCTTCCTTCAGTGCTGAGGGGAAGACACCGCTACTCAATGATGTGTGTACAATTGATGCAATATATGGAAGAAAAGTGTTAATGTTCTCTTTCAAAAGCCACGTTGGTAGTGCATCTAGCGAGCATGTCTTATTTGGTGAAGAACGTATTAATTTGCAGACCGTCTCAAGAGTCACAGTGTCGAAATCTGACAGTTCGGTGATAGGAACAGAGGCATCCGTGATCATCCCATCATCATTACAGGTGTCCGTAACTCCTGCATTACCTGTCATAAGACTTGCTCTAATCTTCTCTACCTTCTGTTCAAAGAAAGTAGCAAACCTCTCTGGTAGTGATGTAGTAGAGCTATCAACCGGTAGAGCCATCGGTGACCTGTTCAAAAGCGTATTCAGAACATGGAACACATTCTTTACGTCTGCACTGCTTAACTGTTCTGTATAGTACTTTGATTTCTC